GATAGGAAAGGAGGAACAATTTCAATATCTACTAAGGAATAAAAAGCCCAGAAATGGAATTTCTACAGGTCAGAGCTAGATACTCTGCCAGTGGAGTGTAGGTTATTATTTAAAAACAAAACAAAACAAAACGGTGTCAAAATGTCACCATTTTGTGGATAGGTGCCAATTCATAAGAAAAGAAGAATTTCTCATAAAGCTAAATGAATTCAATGTAACAGCTGTTTTTCTCAGATCATGTACTTTTAATATCCTGTTAAAATCACCCATTTTTTTTTAATATCAAAGTGGGAGGAGATGGTAACTGTTTCGTATTTGTTTTTGAAGGTCTTGATCAAACAAAATAAAAAGTTTGAACTATAATTCAATTTAAAAAAAGCTAGCAGGGGAAAGGGTATAGCTCAGTGGTAGAACGCATGCTTAGCATGCATGAGGTCCTGGGTTCAATCCCCAGTACCTCCATTTTTTTTTTTTTTTTTGAGGCCCAGGATCAGACCACTGAAGCAGAGTAACCACTCACCACGCCCCGGTTGTTTTTCAGTTCACCATGACAACACAGCACTCTTGAGCTGTCAATCAGGGAGTCTTTCTGGCCTTCTTCTAAGTAAAGAAGTCGCTCTTTATAATAGCGGCATTCAGATTCTCCAGTCTTGGTGTTGATTTCTGCCACAATTCCCTGAATGATGTTTATCTGTGAAAACAAAAAGAAAGTATGGGGAAAGTAAGCAAACCAGCCACACCAACAAGACCCAGGGACTCAGCCTAGAAAGTAAGGAAGATACACTTGGATCTAATTCTGAGATTCTGTTATCTAAGTTGCTGCTTTGGGAAAAGGGAAAAATAAATAAATGCGACTTACACACTGTATCCATCTATACACCACCTAAACACATACACATAGAGATAAACACATACACATATATTCATTTGTACATATATATAGACATTTGTATTATATATAAAGCTAATAATGATATATAATTTTATCTGAAAGGAAGAGATATGAGGTATTGCTTTCAATGTGCAGGACTTATAACCACTAAGCTCCATGTTGCACATTTCCTAAAACATGCTCACAATGTTGAAAATGTAGGTATATAACAAAGGAGGCCAAGGAAAGAAAACAAAGCAGAATGTAATAGTCCAGAAAAAGGATCATCCTTGGGGACTTGAAACCCAGTTTCAAGGTCTCTCTGCATGTACTCAATCTAAACTGAAAACAATATTTGCAAATTGGGTGTGAGTAAATGATTTGGATATATTTTTAGTGACAAAACGTAAATGATTTATAAAGGACAGAGAACTAGGAATGGAAAGGAAAGACTCTAGGAGTAGGCACGGGGACAATCTGTCTCTATACAGCTCACACCCATGTCTACAGCACATGTGAATTAAGTAAGGGGTAGAGGGATTTCAAAGCAATGGTGGATGCATTATTGTTAATACAAACTGAAGTGAAATAAAACAAGAGTACATTACTAGGACATGGTCAGTGGGCATTTATTCTGACGTGTTTTTCTATCACATGAATAATATATCTTAAAGATAGAAAATGCTAGAAAACAAAAGAATAGGAAATTAGTTGATTAAAAACTCAACAACATCAATCCAAGACAAAGTAATGACTTCCTCAGCAGAGTCCTCTGTCCCCTAATAGTGAAAAGATCAACAATCCCATCTTTCTTGGTGGTGGTGGTGGTATTAACAGAAAAGAACTTAAAAGATGAGAAATGTTAATAAGGACTCTTCTTGGTCACATTTACTTAGTAGAAAACAAACCAGTCTCTGAAAAGCAAGGTTTTAAAAGAGACCTTTACTCAGTGAATAGCTACCAGATCTTGTGTTAAAGCAGTATTGAATTCTAAGACTGATAAGTGATTATTTTTCACTTGCCTCCTGCCCAAAGGAACTGGATAAAAACTTCTACCCAGTTACAACTTTGGCATTACCATGCAGGTGTGACAGAATATCTTATAGCTTTGAGCTGGAGTCTGGTGACTGTATCCTACGGACAGACACATAATCTGTACACTTTTGTAGCTGCTAAGTTTCAAAGATCATTTATTTACTCTTTTCTCTATTTTCCAAATTTGGGTGGTAGCAGTACTCTGATAATTAAAAAAAAATTACTTAAAAAAACACAGGCTCTTTATATCGTAAGACAAATTTTTTCATCTTTGGCGTCAACCTAATATTAAACATAAGTTCTATGAAATTAATCTAAGTTTCATTAACATAAAACAAATAATAAATAGAACATTTTGGTATACAACTTTCTCTTCTTTTTCCGCTCGTGGTTTTCAAAGACGACTGATTATTTATTGTTATCTTCAAGAATAAACAAAAAAAGAAATTTCACAAAATATACGAAAGCTATGACTCATCCTTCAAATTAATTCAATTAATGCATGTTGAGCATCTATTCAGTGTCAGACTAGTGGGTGGCTTTCAAAGAAATGAAACAGGGTCCCTTCCTTCGAGAAGCTTAAAATATATGAGAGGTATCTGGGCACACATTTTACATCTACCTTATTCTTCTATTTTGTTACATTTTTTAATACATAGTGAAATCCATACTTTTTTCCTGCTTTTAAAGACCTTAGTATTAATTGCTGTGTCTCATCTTATTGGCGGACTATTACTAGGTGTCCTTGGGCAGTTGGAATTAACAAGTACTTGAGTCAGTTTTCTGAATATCCTGTAAGTTTCAAGGAAACCAGAAGGAAGATATACTCTAGGCATAAAGATGCATTCATTTCCTAATTTAACTAAGGAACTGAACAGCTGGCACATCACATGAAGATTAATAAACTCAAACACCACAGTGGTTCCATAGGCAACTGTGACTATTCTCAAATGCTGCTTCTTTCTCTGGTGTTTGTAAAAATTAAAAAAAGACAAAACAATGGAAACAATTGGAATCATTTCATATTCTATGTCTATATTTATAATAGTAGCTCTGGGTCTGCTTTAATTTATTAAGAATATTATTTTGTATTCTTATTCACCTGTGTACCATGAGCTAATGCACCTGCATACCATGTCTAATCTCTCTGCACTGGTTTTTGAGAGGAATTTATTTTGCAGAATTGCAGCGAGGAATAAAGTTACATATAGCAGATTGCCAATAGCAAACAGTCATGATAATTGCGCATTTAAATTAAATTTATTGTTGCATCTCTCATCTGGGTTCAAACTGAAGGGCAGGGGCTGGTAAAAGATGATGATGATGAGAGATACGCATAACAGAACAGGGATTAAGCCCACACGTGCTGGAATCGTCATCCCCAAAGTGGAATCTGAAAGCCCTGTCTGTCCTGTCCCTTATGTGGTAATATCATCTATTCGTTAGCTCTTGACATTGGCCAAGAATAGCAGCCCTTGCGGCTGTTCCATCCAAAGCAGGTCTGTTCTTCCCATGGATTCCAGTGATTTTTTCTTAAAGGAATGGGAACAGTGACGGGCAGAGCAAATAGACGGTCTACAGGATCATTTTCTGGCTGAAACAGTATTTAGAATTTAAAACATTAAACAATCAGATCTCTAGAATATCTGAATATCTGAAGTCTTATTTTAAGAAGTTCTCTTTGGGGGGGGAAATTCCTATCGACCCCCCAAAACACTATTAAGAAATTCTAATACAAATGTAGTAGTTTAAGCACTGCATTAAAAGCAAGACTTTTCTTTAGATCTAATCATAGGACTGAATGCTTGGTATAGAAGCAATTTACTTAGAGTTCTCTGATTTCTCCCTTTTCAAAGGTGGAAAATTTATTCAGGGAACATATTAGTCAAGCTACATTAGTACTGTGGATTTTATGGTTATCAAACATTCACAATGCACCCAAGAGGACAGGGCTAAATATTTCTGCTCATCTAGGGTAATGCCACAAGGATTTTGAAAAGAAGGGGAAAAAAATGCTGTGCCTTTATTGTGTAAATGGGCATTTAGAAGACTTGCTCTGCAGACATTTTCAAATGCAGGAATATCATCCTTCATACATAAATCTGCCTGAGTAAACTAGGTACAGGTTCCATTTTTGAAAATGGCATCACATTTTATGCACTAGGGAAACTGGTGCATCTTTCACACTGCAAACAAGCATATTCTTATCTGTCTTTTAAATTCAAACTTTAGCTCACTGGGATTGTGTTGTTTTGTTTTGTTTTTTAAACAGAGCATTATTCTTTCATGCTGCATATTAAAAAGAAGAAATCTATACTGTAAAACTCAGAGCAAGCTTGTGTGCTTCAAAAAAAGTAATTATTTAGACTAGCTCGAGCTCCCTGTTGTTCTCATTCCTACAGACCACACACTTGCTGGGATGAAATACGGTGAGGAGGCAACCCTACTGCTCTTTTCAGTAATAAAAACAGACAGATGAAGTGAGATGGGCCTCATCCCTGGAGGCTGCATCCCCCATCGTGCTGCACTGGGAGCCTGGTCTGTGTGCGTCGGGTCTGCCAGACACATCAGACACCTCGTGAATCAGGAGAGACTCCTTCCTCATTCTTCTCTACCCCTACAAGGACAACTGGCCCAGCTCTGCACCAGTGAGGCCCTTCCACAAAGCCTCGTGGCCAGACAACTTTCTGCGATTCCAACAGGGGCTCAAAGCAGCAGCTAGGCTTTTCAGCTCCATTGTAAAGGATGATAAAGAAGTGGAAAAGTCAGAAGATTTGCAGTCTACACCGACAGGGTTCCAATATCAATTCCAACACTTGCTGGCCCTGGACTTGGGCAAGTTATTTAACCCCCACAAGCCCCACCTGGAAAAGGAAAATGGCCCTAACAGGAACAGCTATCTTACAGGTGATTGTGAGGATTATGAGCTCATAACCTGTGAGGCAGTTACATAAAGCTGATTTACTAGGTATTCATTACATGTCAGCAGGTAATACTGTTATTGCAGCTGATGTTGTTACTACTTATTATTTTTAAGCTCCTCTCTGGGAGGAGATGGGCATTTTGCTCCACAGGCTCAGGGCTTCTGATTTTCCAATCACCTATGCATATCCTCCTTATGCTATTGTCCCAGATCCAGTCAGGGAATGAAGGCTTTGGATTGGTCTCTTAACCTCCATCCCCACGGCCACTTCCCTGAGCAGGTTTCCATGACTGCACACTTGGACCACTGCAACCTCTTCCCAGCTGACTTCCTTGTCCCTAATCTTCTCCATCCCCTGTCCTACAAATGAGGAGCAACATGTCCAAGATTACATAGCTTGTCAGTGATGGAGCTGGGATTTGAAACCTGAATCCAAGCTATGTAGAAGACAAAAACCAAACAAAAACACAACAAAAGAAAATGTCTCAGATTATATTTAAAACTCTCTATAACCAATCTGAAGTGTCATTCTCTGCCCCCTCTCCTGCTGTTTCCTAACTACCGTCAACCCCAGGCAGACTGATCCATGGCATTCCCCAGCATGGCCTGTCCTGTCACTTCTTCACATCTTTGCTCAGGCCATTTGCTCATCCTGTCCTGCCATCTCCTCTGCCCTGCCCCACAGGACACCCCGGTCAGAACTGAGCTCTCTGGGTAGAATGCTCAGAGTTTGCTGTATTTTCACGAAATGGACTCCATTTTTCCTGGTCTTCTATTGCTGCTATGGAAGAACCCACATTTCTCAAACCACCCCGCCCCATACTCAATATAGTTACTCGTGGGCAGGTATGAGTAGCTCCACCTTGGGGCCAAGGAGAGCTGGGTCTTAAAGCTCACAAATGGGCTTCAGGACCAAGGTAAAAGGCAACTTCCATTTGCTAACTGAACAAAGCTATCTGATTTCAAATCTCCACAGAGATTTTAACCCTCACAGTCAGCAACCATAACAAACAGATCACAGAGTCACCTACACAGAATCAAGAAATTCTAGAATCAAAAGGACTTCTAGAGTGCATTCCATGTAAATATTACATTTTATAGATTGGGAATAGTATTGACTTGCAAAATCAAAGCACAGCTGATGGCAGAGCCAAGCCTGAAACCCAAGATTCCTGAGTCCCAGGTACCCAGGGACTCTTCACTCACCCATTTACCCAATCTTCTAGACACTGGGGAAAATGACAAGGGAGAGAGAAAGAAAGAGACAACTCACGGCTTCCTCCAGGTGCTGCTGATCTGGGTTATCATTTGGGGTGTGCCTCAAGATCTCTCGAAGAAGCAGAGGATATTTCACCAGACGGCTTCTTGGAATATCGAGGAAATTCCAGAGATCTAGTTTGCGGCTAAAGGGGGATTCTAAACATCGCTGTAGGAAATCTTGGACACGGTGATCTTGTTTTTTGTGGTCCAGCAGAGCTTTGGCGGCTACTTGATTGCTGCAGTAGCTGTCATAGGAGCTGAGACAAGGCAGCTAAGAAAGGAACATCAAAAGAGGGTTGGAGCATTAAAATAATAGTGCTCTGGAGCCACATGCTAAGACCACTCACTGGGACTGAACAAAACCTAGCTGGTCTCCAGGCCAGTCTAATGTTCCTTTATCTGCGTGGCTGGAGGAGACAGACGGTGGAATCTTCCAGATGGCAGGCAGTGGATAGTTTTTTAAGCTCCAGCTTGTTTGTACAGTTATTTTCTTAGTTGTTTGTTTACTTTCTTGATTATTAAGGCCCTAATAATTTGTTTGCATTTTGCCAATCTAAGCTAGACACAGAAGAACTGGAATTACTGTATATGCACACAGTTCAGTATTTTCCTAGTCTGGAATGACTGCATTTGCATACACAATTGTCCTAAACTTTCAGAAGTATCTGGTGAGAGGAAACACTCCTATTTAATAAAAAAAAGTAGGTTTCTCTTAAAATTATTAATAAGAAACTAATCTAGAAGACTTAGTGGCACAAAAAGAAAGGCGTCAGACTCCACAGCCCAGCTCTTAATATGGCTCAGTGCAAGCACCTCTACATTAGCTTTAAGGTACCTGATTCAAAGGTGGACCAATTATAAAGAACTCCAAGGAGTTAAAGCAAAAGTATAATTAGTAAAAAATTAGATGCAGAAAGCACTTAGAAAAGTATTTTAAATTAGTCTGACAGGCCAGGATGATTCTTGGCTATACCTAATGGTTAACAACAGATTCCATGTGGAGAACAATTTTAAGTTTAAAGACTTTGGAACACTTTGACTCCACTGTCTTCCAGCGAAATACTAATTTCCCTGACACGTCCCATTAGTCACATGGTGCAAACACAGAGTCAGAGACTCAGTGGAAGGGCTGCTCATCTTCCTTTTCCACTCCTCCCTGTGAGTAGCATCCAGGACCCAGCATCCTAACACACAGGCTGTCAGCGTCCAGAAAGTCACCAGAGGCAGTAAAATGCAGCCAATGGCCCTGCTGTGTTTGCTTTGCTCTCTTGCACTAGGAAACCACATTTACTGTAACACCTGCTCTGTGGAGGGATTCAGTGCAAGACAGTGGCAAGCGGGTTTTTCGTTTCTGCAACCTCAGTGTTGTGCACTGGGCCTACTATACAGCAGACATTCAAAGTTTGTATTTTGAAGTGAACGTTTAATGGATTACCAGATTAGGTAATATTTGATGGTTTGTGAATGAGACTTAAAAATAAGTTGTGGCAGCGGCTGAAAAATGGATCACAGTTTAAATATTCTGCTACTTCTTTTACACCCTTTTTTGAAATTATTTTCTCAGTGACTGAAACCAAACAAGATACTGTGGAAGTAATGTTTAAAAGATTCACTGTTGAATTTAACATTCCTTGGAATGGTCTACTTCCTTTACATGTTATTAAAAATCCTCTATTTTGTTAAAATGAGTTACAGAAATTCTTTTCTCAACATTCTATTTGAAAGTAATGATAACTGGTACTTACACACACCCCCACCCCTAGATGTGTAATGTTGAGTTTAACATTCCTTGGAAATGTCCACCTTCCTTACATGTTATCTTAAAAAACCCTCTATTTTGTGTTAAAAAGAGCTACAGAAATTCCTTCCTCAATGTTGTATTTGCAAGTAATGATAACTGGTGCTTACACACACACAGACACCACCACCCCCCTCAGCCCCAGATGCAGCATTGTGGCTTGTAATTTATATCTTCAGAGTTAATTAAAAAGAGCCTCAGGACCTCTTAATTTCATTTCCACTTCCTTGCCTTTTAAAAAGACCTGGAAATGCCCAGTGTTTTCATAATGGAGAAACAAATCAGCAGTAACCATCGGAAATAAACTAGCGAGGAACCTCAACCACACTGCTGCTCATTGTCCAATGGGCCATTACTTTCTCTGAATCCCACTGCCCCTGCTGCCATGGCAACCAAATCCCTTTCTGGTCCTGTTTTCACACCTGACAGGGTGCTCATTTCCTGAGCATAACCTAAAAAGCTATCTGGTTCAGCCCATTGGCTAGAAAAAACCACAACTGATCTGTAACTGGATAGGGAGTGAAGAATGCATACATCTTGGTTCCCAAATACACACATAACTTATAGAAAACATGAGAGGCAATAACATAGTGGTTAAGAGGACAGACTTTGGAACCAGGGAGAATTGTGTTCAAAGCCTAACTCAGACAGTTACTAGACAGGTGACCCTTCAGGAGCCTCAGCTTCTCCACTTACAAAATGCGTGCACTAATGTCCTCTATCCTTTAATGACATGCTTTGGCAGATAAAAGGCATAACCTGAGCTTGGCTCCTGGTTAACGATTGGTAAGTGCGAACTAATCTTATTATTATTTATCCCTAGAATATTTTTATTGAAGAAATTGTAGTTTAGAGAAGGAAAACTACTTGCTCAGCTGGATATAAAACCAGTCTGAAGCGTGTCTGCCCCCCACCCACCCCATCAAATCTCTGAACTATTCGCCACCTCTTTAAATAGACTATCAAGAATTTATAAAGGAAACTCTTTCACTTTCTTTTTTTTTGTTTTAGAAATTCTGTCTCCCTAACATTGTGAAAAGAAATAGAACAAATCTATTTTTTTGCTTTCGAGTGTCCTCCCTCTCTCTTTGGAATGAAAATTTAATTAGAACCAAAATTAACATGCGAACTTGCTGCCTTGGAGAGCTTATAAATTCCTTTATTACTGAAAAAAAATGTTAGCATGATGGTAAGTCCTTAATGACAGGGGAGGCTTACGAGAACAGGCCAACCTGAGAGGGAGACTGATCTTTGGTAACCACGGTGGGTCCCTGAAAAAAACCCACCACTCTGTTTAAGGTCTTCAAAGTAAAAGTAATTGATTCATTCTAAGGTCAAAAGGACTGGCCAGGGCTATCCCACTTGGGAGGCTCACTTGTTTAAAAGGGTTTTTCCCACTTTTTTCCTTTGGGGGGAAATAAATCAATTTTTCATGGGTCGAATGGGCTCTGACTTTTCTCATTCAAAGTCCACTAAGATGTTTATTTTGTTCTGTTAAAAAGACCAGAACTCACACAGATGTACCCCTTGGTTTACAGTTCCCACTCGCACGGACACATCTGCAGTTAAAAGAGGGAAAACATTTAACAGCTCGTCAGGCCTGATAAATAAGGACTGTTTCTCATGAAGACTGGTAACAATGGGCCAGTTGTTTAATTTTAGGCTGCTCTTCAAGCTGCAAGTCCCCATTTGATGTCTGAAGGGTTCAGATAGCAATGGACCGCCATGGTCAAACCTCTTTTGGGTATGCACAGAAAAGAACTGAAAGGCTACCCACAAATTGAACCAATTTCCTAATAAAAGTGTGTTTATTTCAGAAAAAAAGTTAGTAACAGGGCAAGTGCGTTCATTTTTGCTTTCTCGCATGAACTGACAATTTGTATACGACGTCCAAGGGGACCTTGTGGTTCTACATTGCCAATTCATCAAAAACAAAGTCATCATGCTAATTCTGGAGCTGTGGTCTCACTCCCAACAAAGCAGTCACAGACTGAGGAAGTTTAAGAAATACTGAGGCAGACTCTCTCTTCTCACTACACCTCTTTTGCTTTCAGCTGGTTGGCTCTCTCTAGAAAAATTTCTTTGTGGGCTAACGAAGTTAGGACATCACCATGGCTCATAATAAAATGAATGTCAAAAAATAAGATGAATGAGCTCTCCTGAAATATTAAGGCATGTTTCCTAAATTATTCATTTTAGAACATTTCTTGCCTTTCAGATACCCTTGGGATATTTCAGCCTCAGTGCTAAAATTGACTCCTGAACTCGAGCTAAGTCATGAAACCCTCAAAGTTCCTTGATCAAGGCAGTAATTGAGAAGCATAAGTTAAGAGATCAATGTCAAAACTTAGGAACCAGAAGGTTTAGGAAGGTTAAAACACAAATACAAGTGTAACTGGATAAACAGAACCCACCTGGTAATGGTACGATTTATAATCTTTACAACTTTTTCCAAAGAGTAGAATTCACTATTCCTGCTGTTGTGACACTTCCTGCCTATTTTTCTGGAACACTGTGGATCAGAGGGACCTAATTCTGCTTGGAAGAAGTTTTCAAAGTAATCTTCTTTTATTATGTGCTTCATAACAAATGAAAACCACCTAGAGTGGGGTGGAACACTCACAGAAGGAAACAGAAATGTATGATAGGGAGTGGGGAGGACTGTGGCAAATGAGAGTCCGTGCCTCGTCTAAAATACATTTAGGGGTAGGGTATAGCTCGAAGCAGCAGAGTGCACGCTTAGCATGCACGAGGTCCTGGGTTCAATCCCCAGTACCTCCTCTAAAGATTAAATAAATAAATAAACCTAATTACCTCCCCACCCACCCCCCAAAAAAACCCTACAAAAATTAAAATAAAATGAAGTAAATTAAACAAATGAACAAACAACCATTTTAGGCACTCACAGATTCAGCCCCAGGGCCACAAATTAAGAACACATAATCTAAAGTCACAGCTGGTTTCTTTAATTATGAAAGGGAATGAGTTATATTGGGATAAAGGTCAGCATAATACCCAGCTGTCCTATCAAGTTACTTAGGATCAGATATATGCTAAACATTTAGCAACATGTAATTATTACCTTGTTTATGAAATGACATTTGACCCTAAGAGTTTTGGGGGGCTTTTTTTGTAGCCTGAATTAAAGCTTTTTTTTTTTGTAGTGATGGACAGGAACATGTCCATGAATTTTTACTAGAATAAAAATGGTAATAATTGTATTTGTAACTGGCCTGATGTGAATATTAATTAGTTCTACTTTCTTTGATGTGAAACTAGTAACAATTTCATGTATGCCTTTACTTCTTTTATTGCACAAAGGCCATGTTATCTTTAAATCTAGTACATTTTTAATAATTAAAAAAACTTTCCATGCTTTGAGGAGATAAAGCCTAAATATAATGATAAATTATACTAGGAATTTGCTATTTTAATTTTTTCTGATGTGAGACCTATGTTTGCCAATAAAAAAAGTCTAGCTAAAATGAAACTCCATTTACATTATTGAAATTTATCTTCAATCAAGCCCAGAGAACTTCTCTTACCCAGTCTACGAGGATGGGACCGACGTGCTCAGTCGAGCCATCGGGCTTCCGGACATCTCGAAGCTGACTGAGGAGGTCTGGTTAAAAAACAAACAGAACGCTTATTTTGTTAGGCGTTCAAATATGAACAGGGCTGGAAGATTCGGGTTACTCACATTATTACATAATCATGAGTTGTTACAGGACAACTCAAGGCTACAAGTCACAACTCATCTGGGAACAAAATTATACCTTCATGTAGAGGAATCAGGGAGTCCAGCGTTCCGAAAATTTGATTCAACTCTTGTTCTGTCATTATGGAGAGTTTCAGCATGGGGTCGTGATAGGCCTGCACAAGAAGGGTAAGATATGGAAGCAATGTTTAAAATCAGAGGCAGTAAGCTGTTAACATAAATGGCTTCTGAGAGGCCCTAGCAATGACGACACATTTGGCTCTCTCGGACAACCTCTCCTGTAACGCTGCACAAACAGCAGATGGGTGTGGTTGAAGCAGCTGAGATTCCAGCACTGCCTTGAGCCTTTTGCGGTTGTTGATAAACCAAAGTAGATTTTTTTTAAACTTAAAAAAAAAAATTCCAGTATATCATATATCTTGCAAAGGGCACAAATCCTAAGCACAGAGCAGATTTGATTTGTATAATGTTTTTAAAATTAATTTGATTGAAGATCTGGCAGTTTGAAAAACTGCCACTTAATACAAAATTAGTCACTAGCATCTTTTCAATTGGTCCATCTTTAAACCAAGTAAAGGAAGAAAAAAAAATTGGTATCCTTTACTATGGATTTGAAGCAAAGAGGGTATAATCTCTGCCAATCTTATCACCTCATATTAATGTTAATTAAACTATAAAAACCCAGGGCACTGCAATGCAACACAAAGACTCAGATGGCACAGTTCCTGCCTTCAAGGAGTTTTATGAAGTTAATTGGGAAGATAAGAAAAAGGCATAGAAAATTAAATATATGCTTAAAAACTAGTTCAAGATTAAAAATAGGAGAGATGTCACATGGCAGCAAAAATTTATCAAATCACAGCTGCTCTAGAGGATCAGAGAATTAGAGGTAGAATGGCTAAAGGAGATTTTAAAAATGAACAGCTTGGCATACAGAAGGAGGCAGTTAATACTGTTGAAGAATAAACTAAGATTTGAGCTTGTTTCTGGAAGATGGATGGATATGAATGTTTGAAAGGAAAGGGAAGGGACTTCAGGATGGTAGGACCAGCAAAGCAAAGAACAAAGGTGAAACTTTTTAAGGCGCCTAAGGGAAATCTTCATGCAGGAAGGAGGGGTTGGACATACGACCAACAAGACGTCTCTCCCAGAGTTAAACCCCTTCTTTATCCCCCCCAGTTTCCTCCTCCTCAGCCCTGCCCAAAACTCAGTTTCTTGGCTGTGTCTAAGCAAAGCTTGGATGCCCATCTCCGAGACATGCTACAGATGGGGCTTGATATTAACATAAAGTTGGACTAAGGATACTTAAAAGAAGGGAGGTATTTTTCCAACCCTGTGATTCTTTGAGGAGGCTGTGAACGTCAGATGAAGGAGCTAGATTTTAGCCTCCATGCAGGTCACTGGCATAGAAGGATTGTTGTCAAGGCTATACACACTACAAGGCATGAATTACAGAATTTCCTCTCCCTTCCCACACACAATGTGATTAAAAAGAAGTTTCCATATGAAAGGCCCTAACTTACATGAGAGTAGGCAGTTGCCTCTCTGAACCACTTTACCCACTTACGAGATTCAAATGACTTTCTCTCTATAACACGGTTCCAGTTTTCAGACACATTTCTTTCCTAGGGGTGAGGAGGCCCTGCATGTGAGACTTCCAGGCCAATGAAATGTATGTAAAGCCAGGCCCCATGAACACTTTCTATTAAAGTATTCTTTGAGGTGCATTAAAGACCTGCAGAAGGGAACCCCTAAAGGCACAGGTCAAGAGCCTTCTTGCTCTGAGCCATTTCCCCACTACTTGGTTTGGGCAGGTTCTTCTCAATTTTTGATGATCTGTCTTTGTCATAAAAAGAGTACACATAAAGCACCGCCTTAAGGGTGGAGGGTATAGTTCAGTGGTAGAGTGCATGCTTAGCATGCACAAGGCCCTGGTTTCAATCCTTAGGACCTCCTTTAAAAATAAATAAAATAAGTAAACCTAACGCCCCCTCAACACACACACAAAGCACCATCTTAGAACTGTGAAATAGAGGAAAAGAGTAGGGTGACTCAAAGGACCACTGGATTTGAATGTACCTTTTTTGCCAATTTCAAGTCCTCTATCAAATCTTCTTCTCCTTGGGAAAGTTCAAAAATCGCCTGCAAGAAAAGATAAAACATGTTTACTGAACTCTGCTTTTGTTTATGAGACCAAATTCAAACGGTACTGATTCCAGTGCTCAATGCCCCATGCTTAGTTATTTCTTAAGGATTTTTAAAGGATTCTTGAAAAGTTAAACTAACCCAAAACAATTGCATCCAGTGGCTAAAACCTACAAAGAAAAAATCTTGCCAAACTTCTGTATAATATGCTTCTCTGTTTGTGGGAGAAAGAGTTTCCATATGTTTCCATTCCAACAAGTCATCTTTCATTTCCAGAATGATGCAGTTGAACAAGAGTGAACTATTTTAAGTAGCCATGGAGTCCATGTCTCTGCTGTGAGTGGCAGTCATTATAAATGATTCAGGGTCTGTTCTTACTGATTCACAAGGAAGTATTATTAATTGGGCCATCACAATTTGTCTTCCTTCTACTCAACAGAAGGTGAATCTCAACAGAAAGCTTTATTCTTATCAGCCACTTGTCTTGAGGCAGCATTGTAGGAAGAATCCAATATTTTACCACTCTAAATGTCTGGTGAAGTTATTTCATTCTAAATTACTTCTCGGCCCCACACTGTATAATAAATAAAATTATAGAAGCCGGCTGTGTGCAAGAGTATATAAATGGACCACTTCTAATTTGGCTCTATTAAGCCCTTGTAATTTAAGAGCTACGATGCACAGAACATTCTTTCACTCTCATCTGAGAATCTAAACTGTTGTCAAACTTTACATTATTAAAGGACTACATGTTTGTGGTGAGAGTTGAAGGACTACTACATTTCTTTCAGACTAGAGGGAAGAAATGAGCAGGCTTGGAGAACACCTCCATGCCTGGGCTTGGTGGAGAGCAGGACAACGAATGTGCTCCCTGGCAAAGCAGGCGGAGGCAGAACACTGCACTGGAGGCCAGTACCTGGTGGCCCAGGAAAGCTTTCATGTCATGCCCTCTTGGTACTTTATTTTGTTTAACGTTTTATTTTGAAATAACTCTAGATTGACATGAAAAGTTACAAACATAGTACAGAGAGGTCCTGAATACCCATTGCTCAACTTCCCCCAATGGTGGCATCTTATAAAACTATAGAGCATTATCAAAACTGGGACATGGATGGACATGACACAATTAACTAGTTTTACCTGGACTTTCCTCAGATTTCCTTGTACGTCTGTTTTGCCAGAGCTCAGTGTGGCCTCCAAGAGAGAAAAACCACAGAACCCCATACTAGGATGGATACACCACAGTCAGGTGTCTGTGGTGGGGTGGCACAGGGTCACTGTGAAGATAACGGGCTTTGGAGGTGGACAGGAGCTGGGTTCAAATTCCAGCTCTGTAACTTTGTAGGTGGATGACCCTGACTTTGCACTCACTGTGACTTAATAATCTCCTCATCTGCAGAGTCAATCCTCCCCTCCTTCCTTCCCGCTATCAGAATGTACAAGTTATATATGCATACTATTAACACTTGGGAAAACACAGAAAAATATAAAGAGGAAAATTTTTAATGATCCACAATGCCATCTTGTTAACCATTGTTAAGATTTTGCCATATTGCGTCAAACAATTTTTTTCAGTGTACATGTTATTTTAAAAGCATTTATTTATTCTTTTTTGATAGGTAATACATTGACATTCAAAATTTTTAGTGTAGGAATGGGCACATGCTGGAAACCTCTCTCACCTCCTTCTTTCAGCCCCTCCCAGGAGGCAACAATGTTACCAGCTCCTTGTGTGTCCTTCCAGAAATATTTTATGTGTCTATAAGCAAATACATACAAACACACACACATTCATTTTTCCTTCTTATTTTACATAAATGGTAGCATAATATACCACCCTACTTTGTGCCTTGCTTTATTCACTTAGCCATACATTCATACCAGCACTTCTTGTATTTCTACAGTTACAGAACTATGGACATTCATTACTTAACCAGGCTCTGGTAATAGATGTGCAGGCTCTTTCTGGCACTATTATAAACATTACAGGGATGAACAACCTTACACATGCATCTTTTCATCTGTGTACAAGTGCACCTGGCAGACAGATTCCTAGAAAAGAACTGCTGAGTCAAAAACATATTAAGTTTTCAAGTACTCCTTTTGCCAATGTTGGTTCTCCACTAAAATAGATATTCCAAGGATTTCACTAGATGATGCAGCTTTGAAGTGCTTGGCACAGCCTGGCACATGACAGGTTCTCTACAAAGTAATATTAGCATAGCCATCTAGGGCTACCGATACCGAAAATTTACAGGGAATGAAATTAACTACATTCCATAGTCAAAGTTTTCACAAAACTGAATCAAAGTTTCATAAACTGAATATTTTAAAATATTTTAGAAGATGCCATTAAAATACAACTAGAGTGATTATTTCTGTGAGTTCCAGGATCCTAAATAGACACGTCTTGATTCATCTTCTTTGTAAATTCAGATTTTTCACATCAGTTTCTTTTACAAGCCAGGCCACACCCACCCAGCTGGTTGCTGGTTTCTCAGTTCCCTAGGAGGTGTGACATCCCCATTTATCCTCCTCTACCAGTGCAAGGAGGAACCGGTTTGGAGGCTGCGGTGTAGACCCCAGCTTGGCTCTCACCTGCACTGCACCTTGTTCCAGACACACAACCATTCCATGGGTCTGGCCTACCTCCTGACGTTTGATTTCCTTGGACGTAAGCATCTGATTGACGCACACGTCGAAGGTCTCACTCCACAGCTTGCTGTCTCTTCGCTTCGTGCTCGATGGGGTGGCATTTCTGGACCAGGGCCGCGGGGCGAGGATGTCGGGCCGGCTCTCGCTGCGGAAGCTGATGGAGCGCTGAGCAACGAGAAAAACAAACCGTCACGGGGGCAGCAGCAGGACCGGGTGGATCGTTTGAACAGCTTCCTGTCATGGACAGAACATAAATCAGACGTCCGCAAGAAAGAGAGGACAAGGCCCTGAGGCCTTTGGGAAGAAGCGCATTGTCTTGCGTCTCCGTGCTAAGGCAAGTTGGGCAAGGGACCACTTTCACAGACGTGCTGGGAGTATCCTTTCTGTGAGACCTGGGTAACCAAGTTTACCACGGCGTTAAGAACACCTCAGGTCAAACTCCTCCGCAAAGGCAACCCTCAGACAAGCGATGAGTTCTTTTTTTTTTCTTGCAGTGTATGCCTTCGCTCCTGAGAAGAGCAAAGGTGAAAAGTAGTGGATGTCCTTTATAATTAAAAAAAAAAATCTAGCTAGTACTGCTACTCTCCTCCTGGGAACACAGCGCACTGTCCTTGGGTATCCCATCTCATATAGTTTGGGTGTTCTCCCCCTCCTCCACCCACGAGTTGACCAATTCGAGTACCCCAGCACCCTGGTTCAGAGCGGGGTACCTGATTCCCTGAAATCTGCTGTGTGATTCATGGGAGAAAGAGTGAAAGATTCTTTATTCCTTTGGGATTGTCAGCTCAAGAGATAACATAAGCAGGAATTTCTTGCAGCAACTCTCTGGTTACACAGAAGAGTCTGTCTGATACAGCACAGAATGAAAGATGAAGAGAGAGTCTGAGGGAAGGAAGGAGGGAAGCAGCAAGCTCTATCAACACTGTTTGAGTCCCTGGATATCAGTGTGCTTGAAGCCAGGAAGTGCCACTCTAAGATTCAGGGGCTAATACAGTCCCCTTACTGTTTATATTCACCTCAGTTGTCACTCGATGCCTGTCTTGAGTTATTTTCTTATTTTCCAAAGTCCTAGACTTTGGGGTGGTCTGATCACCCAAAATCTTCCCCTATGGCTGAAATATGCTACCATGGTGCTTTCTCATGACAAATACAAATGATCAAGAAGAAAGCTGAGTGCCTCACCTTCAGCCTTTATTCTAGAAAAATTCAACACACTTACTGGAAACTTCACCAAATCAATGAAGTATTGCTGTGCTCAGAAACCACATTCTTATTTCCCAGTGTTCCTTGCCATGGCTGTGGCCACAAATCTATAGCTTTCAGTGTGTAAAGTTTTACCTCCTCAGTTTGGCACAAAAGTCCTCTTGTAATCTAACCACAGTCTATATATCCAAGATCACCTCCTGCCACTCACCTGTTAGCCCCCTTGTCTCCAGCCCTACTCAGCTACCCACCATTCTCTTAATGTACCATGTTTTGCCATTTGCTGTGCTTCCTTTAAGCTGCCTTCTTTTCCCAGAATGCTTTTCTTTCATTGCTTAGTTGGTTAACTCCTAACTGTCCTTGGGATGTAACTCAAACACCTTCTTTAAGAAGCCTTTACCAATGTTCTCACTATATCTCTGATATAGTGATGATCATATTTTATTATACTTATTATTTGTCTGCTTTGAACTATAAACTTCCCGAGGGCAGGAACTGATTTTGCATGCGACGTATGAGCCATCATCACTGAGACATTGTAAGCTAGCTTCCAAATATTTTGAGATTCAACAATAAAACTTAAGAAAGTAAAGAAGGGTATGGTGGGACTAACTCAGTGGTAGAGTGCATGCTTAGCATGCATGAAGTCATGGTGGGTTCAACACCCTGAACTTACATTAAAAAAAAAAAGAAAGTAAAGAAAAAGTTAAGAGAACTATTCAACATAAAGGCACTGTTAAATAAGTTATAATTCATCTGCTTGATAAAATATTATCTAGCCATTAAGACAATTCTAATTTGAACAGCTAAAAATCCCTTCTATGTAAGTTAAAATAAAATCAGGATTAAAATCTGTATATGAGCACTGTTTACAATTGTGAAAAAAAAGCACAGGAGCTAAGATACAAAGGGAATGCCACAAAATTCTATTGTTTTTGGCTGATGACATTATAGGTCATTTTTATCCTAGTTTACAAATTTTCATAATTCAAGAAAAATATGAATAAATGAAAAATGTAAAAAGAAACTGCCAAGGGGCTTTCAGTGTATTACCACAACCTACTGGAAGCAGGAAGCTAGCTCTGTTTACAAGTAGCAACCCAGCTCCTCAGGATGGCAGCGACAACCATGAGCTCCTGGGCTCATTAATGAGCTCATGATCCCTGGACCAGGCCTGTGCTGGTCAAGAAAGTACTCGCTCCCAATCCATTTCACTAATGGCATCTCACAAATCCTTGTGATCTCTTGAAAACAGGCCTTTATAAACAGTGACCAGACTAATGCTTGCAGATCCCCCCGGCACTCAAAATCAATTAGCCACAGGCACGGAAAGGTCAAAACAAGCAAAGTGACTCATCCAGTAACTCGCTCATCTCAGTTTGTGGTTCTGATGCCAGCCGGGGCGGGAGTTCAAGAGCAGAAAGAGAGGAAAACACAAAAAAGGAGACTCAAAATGAAAGACATTTTCCACTTTCACTTGAGAGACTCAACCGCCCTCTTTGTTACAGTTTCAGTCCCTGACCAACTTCAAACGTCTCCCTTCCCCACCACCAGTTTGAAAGTAATTTATGCTAACTTTAAATTTTCATACAACGGTATATAAAAATTAAGTACAAATCCCCTCATTTTCCCAAGTCCACTTCTTAGAAGTAACTGCTGTAAGTTTGTTCTAGATTGTTCTAAACCTTTTCTATGCATTTGCTAACATTCACAGAAAACAGATTGTCTTTTTTGACTCAGCATGTCTCTCCCTGTTGGTATATAAGACTCCCTCTCTAAAAAAATAATTTATAGCAACAATACTTCAGTTAAAAAAAGGTACTACAGGGGTATAGAATACTTATCTTTTAAGTCAAAGTCAGTAAAAATGTTTTTTGAGAAATTAAATTAAGTTGTTACAAAGCCAAAGTAGAAACAATTGCTTTAAAATCCAGCTTGAAAAAGTCACAGGAAAAAAAGGGAGTCAAAATATAAAATTGAGAAACCTTGAATATATTTTGTATTTGAAAGGACAAACCAGTGTTCTGATTTGTAGCGCTTTTTGTATGCAGCCAGATTGGAGTGTGTCTTGTTTGATCACAAAGAAATTCATTATTAAAGATAGAGGCAAATGAAAACATATTTTTAATTCACATTTTAAAGTGTGACATAGAAACAGACAAAAAGGATACTATGGTTTAAAATAGAAGTAGGTACAATGGATGACATTTAGCATCCTACCTCCTGTAGTTACCTTTTACAATCAGATTTTTTAAAAAGTCTATTTCCTTGCCACTTAATTGGGATTAAAATACTGCATGTAGAAAAATGTTCTATCCATCATATCTTGAGTGTACAGGTTAAAATTTATAATTTTATGCTCATAATAAGATCACTCTTATTTGGGGATTTAAAAGAATTTATGAAGGTGAAATTCACATAACATAAAATTGTCCACTTTTAAAGTGAATAAGTCAGTGGCCTTTAGTACATTCACAGTGTTGCACAACTACCACCTCTGTCTAGTTTGAAAACATTTCTATCATCCCAAAGTCACTCATTCTTTTTTTTTTTTTACTGAGGTACAGTTGGTTTACAATATTATATTAGTTTCAGGTATATAACATAGTTATTCAAATATTTTATAGATTATACTCCATTTATAGGTATTATAAAACATTGGCTATATTCCCTGTGCTGTACAATATATCCCTATAGCTTATTTATTTTATACATAGTAGTTTGTACTCATTCTTTTTAATGGCTACAGAGTTAGTATCCTGTGGTCCGGATGAACCACATGCATTTAATCAACCTCCAACTGATGGACGTTAAAATCCTTTCCAGTGTCTGGCTATTGCAACAAGTGCCTCGGTGAACATCTTTCATGTTTTCGTGCTGGTATTTCTGTAAGGCAGTTTCCTTAGTCTAAGAAATATCAATTTCTTAATGTTTGATGTGTACTGCCAAACTGACCTTCAAATAGTCTGTGCAACTTGAGAGTCTCCAGAAAAGTATATAATAGTCTCTTTTTCTACACTGTCATCAACAGGATATTATTATCAATCTGACAGGAAAACACATACATCTTAATTTCAGTTTCATATTTTGAACATAAGATTGAACGTATTTTTGTTTTTGTTGAAAAATTTCCCAGAGTTGGAGATTTTCTCCTGTTGCAGTTCAGAGGGAGAAGGAGAGAGGTGAGCTATACCAGGTGAACTCTATCGCTAAGAATTACTGGTTCTGTGTTTCCTTAGTGATTTGTGGGCTTGGGTCCTAAGAGGGCAGGGACGGGGATGAAGTTCACCACGTTTATCACAGAGGGGCCATGCTTAGCACTTCTGATGAGTTCTCTCAAACCCTCAGGACCACCCCGCAAGGTGGGGGTTTATTCCCATCTTACTGATGAGAAAACCGAAACTCAGAGAGGCTAAGTAAGGTATTTGCCCAGCCAGGATTCAAACCTGGATCTGTTTGGCTCCAAAACCTGGGTTCTTTCTATTAAGGGGACTGTACCTGCTGTTTACATGCAAATCATGCATTGTGGGGAGGTTTCAATGAGATGAGACCCAGCCATCTAGGAGCTCAAGTCTAGGTAAGAAGAGGGACTGCATTTGCTCAGTTTTAAGAATAACGACTGAGTGGATTTTTGATCAAACTGCAGATTTATACTTTTAGTTAGGCTGGATGAAGACAAACATTTTGTGTTTCTAAAACTCCACCTAGAAAGGAGATGAATGCTGAAAGGAAGAATTCCAAAGAAATAAAGAATGTCGGAGAGGTGTGTGGTCAGCAGCTGGCTGGCCCTGGGGACAGCTCACAGCCACCTAGGCCCAAGCCATGGGTGGGTGCTCACGACAGTGCTGACCACACACCATACCTACACCCCTCCCTGTGCCCAATTAGATGAGAGGATTGGAGTTGGGGGAGGAGAAGGTGAGGACTGCTAGGAGGAAGAACCCAAAGAAGAGTGTGCCTCAAGAGAACAGAGAACAGCCCCTCCAGTGCCCCTGCCACTGCCCCGCCTCTGCTTAATTTTTCTCTCTTTTCACCATGTGCCATATGATAAAACTTACTGGTTTGTTTCTGACATGTCTGTTTCCTCCTAATAGAAGGTAAGCTCCTTAAAGGCAAGGATATCTGTCTGTTCTGTTCACTTATGGATTCATCAGCACCGGCACATAGTAGGACCTCAACAATTTTGCTTAATGAGTGAATGGCATGCTTGTATGTGCTGGGCTATCTGAGGGGAGCTTTAGGGCCCTGCTGTGCCCAAAACGTGAGGATTCCTATGCCTGTAATACAGATGAGGAAACTTGAGGCTCAAAGAAGGTAATACTTTGGTGAAGGTCATGCAGCTAATGAATGGTGCTCCAGAATTTAAACCCAAGTCAATGGTGAACTTGGGATGACAATCCATGTCTGGTCTATTTCAGCCCAACTCCTCCCCCACTGTTTCCATCCCTTGGAAAATTCTAACCAATATCCTACACTACTACCCCTAGGGTGAGATTCAAACAGTAGCAGGATGCAGTGCCCAAATAGATGAGTTTCAGGCTATTTCTCAGTCTATGGCAGGGAATCTCAGCCTTGCCACCACTAACATTTTGGACCAGAATATTTGTTGTTGTGAGGGGCATTGTAGGATGTTTAACAGTATCTTTACCTCTAACCACTAGGTGCCAGTAGTGCCCTCACCCCAACTGTGACAATCAACACATCTCCAGACATTGCTGAATGTCCTCTAGGGTGAGAAACACTGGTCCATGGTGATCAGGAGACACTCACCTCCAAGTGAGGGACTCAGCCTTGGGAGGGACTGCACACAAAACAGAAACATGTACACAGATCCCTCCTGGGTGTGGGGATCCGGGCCTGGAATGAAAAATGTTCTAGGACAAGCAAGAGTTTCCATGAGGGAACCTGGCCTAAGCAAATGAGTCAAAAACCCAAAGCTCATAATTGCTGGCAGCTAAAATAACAATGGCCATAGCAGGCACAGATACTGTAGATTTAGGGAGTGGGTGCTCATGTTTTTGCCTGAGCTGGGTATGTGGAAAAGATGCTGCAGGTGGGAAAAGGGGGCCTCTTAACACGTGTCAGAGGAAATGTAAACCCAGCATGTTAGGCACGATGGAACAGATTTGATTTGTTAATGCTCCTGTTCAGCAGGGTACTCCCTTGTCCTTTTCCCAAAACAGAAGGTCTCTACAGCCAAAGATAACATGCTCCAATAAAGAGTTCAAGCCAGAGAAATTCTCTACACTTACTATTGCTATTTTGTAGCAGATGGCTTATTATTAAATGGATTGGAGGTTAGGGTGGGACTATAAGAGGAAAACATGTTTGTGTGTTGCTACTATAGTGGGTTAACCAGAAAGTACAGTGGTTATGGTGGGGGGTGGGAAAATGTTCTCAAACAGCATACTGGAGAAGTCTCTTGTAAAGCTTGATTAGAGCAATTAACTTAAATTAAGAAATAACCCTTTCCAGCTGTGTGGCCTCCATCACACTGGACCCTCCTGCTAATCCTGATAGAGGCACTGAGCAGGCTCTCATATTTTGCCCCTTTTTAATAGATGAGAAATCCAAGTACCAGAGGATTAAGTGACTGGCACAAGGTAAGTGTTGGAACAGAAATGAGTCCAGTCTTTCAACTCCAAAACTCCAAAACATGGGTCAAGAGTACAGGCTTTGGAGTAAAACAGACATGGCTTCAAGTCACCTCAATGGTTGAGGGACCTTGGAAGTCTCTTTGGGTCTTGGTTACTTTATCTGTAAAAGGGGCATAGTAATAAGCACCTTGCAAAGTTGTAGTGAGGATTAGATAAGATAAAGTGTATCAAGGGCTTAGCTGCGTGCCTGGTACATGATCTGTAGCAAATGGGTGTTACTTATCATTGTTATCATACTACTGACTGCACTGCTACCAGTAGTACTTCTTTACATATATCTTCATCTTTAGCAAACAGCAGACACATGTCTGAACTACTTGGACCAAATAGCTCCTTGTGGGACCTCCATCAAGATAACTTATAGGAGGAGAAAAACCTCAGCAGCAGAGTGTTTTTATAAAAGCAAAAGATCTGGGACTAGCCTAAAATGCCCAACAACAGAGCTGAGCTCAATAAATTATAGGGTAACCATAAAATGGAATATCATGCAGTTATTAAAAGCATCCTTTTGTGCTCACTTGGGCAGCACATATACTAAAACTGGAGCCATACAAGAGAAGATTAGCATGGCCCCTGGGCAAGGATGACATGCAAATTTGTGAAGCATTCTTTTTTAAGAAAACACTTTTCTTTTTCTTTTTTTTCCCCATCTATATGAGATGATGGTTATTAATTTATTGTGGTAATCATTTCACAATATATATAAATCAAGTAATTATGCTGTACACTTCAAACTTACACAGTGCTGTATGTCAAGTATATTTCAAAGACACTGGGGAAAAACATTCTTTTTGAGAAATACTTAATGTAATAGGAAAGTCTCACATGTAGAGTTAAGTAAGAGAAGAATGCTCCCTATTTAAAATTCAAAATGGTAACAGGGGTTACCCCTGAATGATGGGACTATGGATGATTTTTATTTTCATTTTCATACTCCTCTACATTTATTTACCAGATTTTCCATAATGAAGAGACATTAATGATGGAAAAACAAAATCAACAGACAAATATGTAAGTCCATGAACACCGAGTTAGAAGTAGTGTTGTAAATATAAAATCACATATATAGAATCTGGTTCAGCTTAATGCGCATTAAAAACATGGCAAAAGGCACTTGATCAATTCACAATCAATAAATGTCAAACTCAAACAACCTAGTGCAAGGACAAATCTTTCTGATGCTGGGAGAAATTCTGAGTAGAATGAATGAAAAGCTGGAGAAAATATTTGTTTCAGGTGAGGGGAAAATATTGTACAATTTGCTTAGAGCCAGCCCCAAATTAGGAAGCCTTCCAGAGGTTTGGGGAAGAAGCTCAACCATCTTTACTGGGCACCATAAAATGGCTTTTGCACAATAATGTTAATGGTAAAATATTCCACAAGCTGAAATGGAAATGATGACTTTCCCTACTGCACAGGCAAACAAAGACTAAGGAACAGCAGTGGGTAGGATGCTCCAGATTGGAAGTCTGGCCATTATTTTTAGACCCTGGCCAACTGCAGGCTTCATTATGACCAAGCTTACTTTTTCCAAAAGCCTACTCCAGGAGAGGCACTGTGAAACCTCACAGAATCCCAACTCCAGCATGTACCAGCTGTGTGACCCTGGGTACATTTTCAACCTTCAGGTTTTTCCCCTAGAAAGTGGTGATGAATCCTGCCCTGCAGAGCTCTGAATGAGGCCATGAACTTCAAGTAGCTTGCACAGACCCTGGCTTCTTGTAAATACTCAATCAATGAAAGATGTTCGTACTAAATTTAAAACGACAAGCTTTAAATGACAGTAGTCAACTATTACAATGGTCTAACTATTATTCCAGGAATAGTAAAGAACAGCAGGAAAGTCAGGAGTTCCTTTTGGTGTGGAATACAGGTCACTTCTCAGCTACGTCCTTACTTTCCAGACAGGCAGTACAGTTTCTGGTTGCTTCTGCCAACACACATGCACACCCCTACTCCTTGAGCTCATCTCCACATCTGCAGAATAACTTAGGACCAAAGACTTTTACCAGTTGTAGAGAGTGTGTGACCTTGGACCAAGGGGCGATGTCTAAGGCCTCTGGAGAAGAAAAGAATGGCTGGCAGCCCACGGAGACTGAGCACACAGGCTTGGGCACTCTTCCTACCTAGATTCTCAGAGCCAGATGGCATCAGTCTTCCCACACGCTCTCCTCAAACCTGCCATTTCTTTCTCCCCTTCGTCCTCATCATTGCTGAGCCATTCCAGGCCCGACACAAACCCTTTCACCCTTGCCCAAAGAGGGGGAGAAATGTGACTATGAGTTTAGAATTAGGATGTGAGAACACGGAGAAGTAATTCTGTCCAAGACAGATACACATCAAGAATAGAGGCCTAACACTAGTGATATCAAATATTTTTATTGTTTACACCTCTTGATCGGAATTCCACTTCTGGGAATAAAATGTAAAGAAAGAAAAAATAAAGACATATACAAGGTTTGTGATAAGGATGTTTATAACAGTGTTATCTATAATGGTGGAAAGGTGCAAACAATTTAAATGTTCAACAATTCAAGGGTGATTAAATAAACATACATCCTTTTGACAAAACACTATATGAACCCATTAAGAATCAGGATCATGAAAAATATTTAATGACATGAAAATATGTTTTAATATTGGAAGGTTAGTTTATACTGTTAAGACAAAAGCAAGTTAAAAATAGTCTGATTATGATTTTTAAAATATGCATGCAAGTATATGGTAAAAGAAAAGATTGCCTGAGTATATACCTAAATGTTAACAGAAGTTGTTTGGTGATGGGGCAATGGGATTACAAGAACTTTTACTCCCATTTCTGTGCTTCTCTATATTTTTGAATTTTAAAAATGATGTTATGTAATCAGAAAAGAAAGCACAATAGAAGGTACTTTTTAAAAAAATAGGACAAGTGTCACCAAAAGACATGCAACACAGTTATTTAATAATATGAAAATATTTACAACCTAAATATTCACTAATAGGAGACTGGTTATGTAAAATAAATCATATAAACGTATTCAAATAATACATACTCTGCCCACTAAGACTATATTTACTAAGAATAACTGTGATACAATACTTCCCTTAAGCCATAACAAAACTGTCAGCCAGCTAAATGACAATGGGAGGATGAAAATAAAAGAGACGAAACAAAATACACTGGGCAAAACGCGAAAAGCAACGAAACGACAAAAATAAAATCCAAGGCAAAAAAAAATTGAAAGAAATAAACAGGGATATTTAATTGTAATGAAAGATACAGTTCCCCCAAGAGACTGTAAAAATGATGAAGAGAAAGCTTTATACACCTAACTGCACAGCTTGGAAATACGTAAAGCCAAGACCAATAGAAATGAAAGAGAAACTGATTGTCCACAGTCCCCGGGGATGGGTGGTTGCTAAATCCAAATGTTAACAGATCACACAAAGATAAGGCTGGCGCTACTAGGAGTAACCCCAAACTAGGCTCAGTGTGTAAGTTTTATACATAGACCTAGAATAACACGGGAAGGAAATTATAAAATATTAACAGGGGTTGCTTTGATGTGAAATCTTCCTCTTTCCTCCTTTTTTGTATTTTTCCATAATGAACATATACTCTTATAATGGAAAAGAAATCCAGTTCATGTTCAAAAAGAACGCAGGGCTCAATCCCAGCACAAGAAACACAGCATCCCTAGTGTGCCCGGGGCTCAGCTCAGAGCCTGCCAGCCACACACAGCCGGCTCAGCCAGCGTCGGCCAAGGCAGCTCACCTTCTTCACTCCACGCGAGGAGCACACCAGGCCCCCTTTCAGAGCTGGGCGGGCCAGCGAGGGGATTTACAGGCCCAGAGGGAGCTACTCCACCAGCAGCGCTAACCTCCCTGGTCAGAGGCAGACAGAGCGCCACGCAGTTGGTTCTCCCTCTCGGGCCTCCACAAACGCTGCCTTTGTGCCGGGGCCCAAGCTCTCCGTCCTCAGGGGGCACTGGGGACGCCAGAGAGAACAAGCCCTCCAGTGTTTTGTTGAACTGTCGCTACAAGGACCACTCACATTTGTGACTGAGTCCTCAACCTTTCTGGAGGAGGCTGCCAGCCCCGCGTTCTCCTGATATCCTCCCGGGCTAACCTGTGGCCTTCCGGGGAGCCCGGGGAAAGACTGCTAAGTGCTCAACTACTGATTAAAGCATCTCTTTGGAAAAAAGAAATAAATAAAGCATCTCTTTAAAGTCATCTGCCCTCCTATGATAAAAGGAACCCAACCCAAGAGACCTAGCTGGATATCCAAACGGACGTGCGTGTCTCTAAGGTGCCAGGGGCCAGGGACAAGTGATACTGTGACAGAGAACCAAGCTGCTCATTTATAGCCATGAGTCGTTTTGGGACATAGCAAAGGCATAAATAACACACACCTATGGGTAAAGAATGAATGACTGCCAGGAGGTCTGGGGCAGCCCTGCACTCCTCGCTGTCTGTTCCTCCCCTTTTAGGCTGGACATCAGGACTACCACTGGCAAAATGGGAAAGGATGTTAATTAAGCTGGCCCACTGAGTACCCCTTTGGGGCCTCCCCCTCCTCCTCATCCTCCCTGCGACTCAGGCTACGTTAGCATCTGTACTGCTCCGGCTGGGGAAGGAAGCAATATAGTCATGACGCAATTATTAGGATGCTATGATTCTGCAGAACATGAACTACGTGGGTCAAGGTGACTTACAGGGAGATATTTGGGAGTAAGATGGTGTTCTCTGTGCTTTGCAGATCATCCTGCAAACACTGCTGTCTACTTCTACATACAACCTCAGGGGCATATTTCCATTTGCTGACTCCCCCACCCCGCCCTCGAGGACACACAACATAAGCGCACTGTTCAAGTTCTCTCCGGGTTCATGTGTATAATCATTATGAATAACCATTCTGTTTTTGTCAGGTTGTTTCTGTCCAATAAACAGAACCTGGAGTTAGCTATTTATCACAGTATTTTTTAAGAAGTAAATAAGAGATTATTTTGCAAAAAAAAAAACAAAAAAACTTTGAGGTTTTAGAAACCAATTTTCACATGTCAGACCCCTTCCTCGGGTCTGGCTTTCTCATCTTTGTTCGGCCTCAGTCTGTTGGATTTCAGGCGCGGCTTGATTTCTTTCTGTTCTAGTTCTCTAGGTCAATGTGAATTTGCAAGGTGATCAAATATTTCCTGTAGCGCTCCCTGTGTGGGATCTGTGGGATCCTCTGTGTAGGGAAGAAACAGGAGAAAGGAAACAAAGGTTGCCTGGGGAGCTGAAGGAAAGATTTTAAAGGTATGACAATGGAGGATCTTAAAGCAAGTAGGTAGTTGGGGCTGGGCTGTGGTAAGGAGGTATAGACAGGGCTCTCCCTGGACCTACAAGTGCAAATACGGAGTCTACAGGCCAGACAAGTTGATGACAGTGAGTGAAGGGGCCAGGTGCTGGGAGGACAATGGGGAGAAGCAGGGACATGTGTAGGTGACAGTTGGCTGACTACGCAGGCACAGCTCATAACTGCCATGTAGGATCATAGACCCAGCACTGCCAGGCCTTCCAATTCCTCAAGAGAAGCCAGGAGTCCAGATTCTTACATGGACAGCTTTAATTTCTAATGTTAGCTCAAAACACCGTGCAGCCAAACAAAACACCGCCGAGGGCCAGTGGCCATGAAGTTGTCAGAAGGCAGCCCCATCCAGGACGTAAGCAACCTGAGGGTGCATGAAGAGGACCCCGCTCATCGCCTGTGGAATGAGTGAGGGCCTTCCTGGGGCAGAGGGCAGACTATCCTCTGAGAGACAACGGGAAGAGATGGCTGGTAACACAGAGGTTGTAATCAAGGGAGGAAATAACTAAAGAGTAAAGCTGAGCTGCAGCCATTAGGATGGAAAGGAAAGGGTGAAATGGCAGTAGACAGGCTAAAGAATTTTCAAAAAGCAGAACTCAGCGAAAGACCAGATGTGCAGGACTAGGGCAGTGATGAATCTTCCAGGGGAAGCCTGCAATGAACTTGGCCAGAAGGCTGAGGGACTGGTCACTGGGGAGAGAAGGTAAACACATTTTTCTTCACTAGCTTCAAAGCCCTTCATCTGGCTCCCCCAGACAACCTTATTTTTTTTCTCCTCTGTTCTCCCACAGAAGGGATCAGGGAATAACCAGGGGCTCAGAGGTCTGAGCACAGAGCCAAACCTATAGCTAATTAGATGATGAGGTATTCATTCAGGAGAAATATTAGCAGAGTTAACAGAGGAATGGGCAGGGCAGGGGATTAGCAATGGAGAGGGATGGCACCTGTAGCAGAGTGGTGACAGCAGCTTGAGCTGTGTGGTTTCACGACACACTGGCTGAATGGTGTGGAAGCAAGGACAGGAGCGGGTGAGAGGGATTTCAAACAGTTCTCAAATCACAGGTTTTCATAGCATGGGATATACCTTGGGTTCTGGTCCACAATTTTCTTAATGACTCAGAAAGTCAAGATAAAAATGCTATGAAGCAGAAGTACTCAGGACAAGTAAGAAACTGGCAGACTCAAGACTACTCAGCTGAACAAGGTGAGCCTTTTCATGGCATGACTTTTGTGGGCTTCAGTTTACAAGAGGATTTTTATGATTATCGTATTGGGCCCAAGGTCTTGGACAAATCTCAATTTTCACTATATACCTTATCAGGAGTTTAAGAACAAGAATTACAACCACTTGTTAACTAAAGAATCATTACAGTAGTTAATATTTATGACTTAGCTAACTAGTTAGGAAGTTAGTGATTATTAACTGAGGGCCAAGGCACTATGCAGAATGCTCTAAACACAGCATCCTGTGAATTTTTACAATGTTTCTATAAAGAAGCTGGTGGCATCATCCCCTAATCTCCATTAGGAATAAAAGCACAACCTAGAAATGTGAAGCTCCCCACCCAAGGTGACAAAGTGAGTGACAGAGCCAAGGACAGATGTGAGCTGCTTCAGGACCCTCGTTCTCAGTCAGGGGTCAACAAATATTTTCTGTAAAGGGCCAGATAGTCAATACTTTTGGTGTTGTGGGCGATATGGTCTCTGTCACAACTAGTAACTCTGCTACTGTCGTGCAATGGCAGTCACAGACAGCACGGTAGCATGTAGGCACACCTGTGTCCCAGCAAAGCTTTAGTTACAGACACTGAAATCTGAATTTCACCTCATCTTCACGGGTCATGAAGTATCATTCCTCCTTTTTCTCCCCAGCCATTTTAAAAAGTAAAAACCATTCTTGGCTCATGAGCCATAAGAAATCAGGGGGTAAGCTGAATTTTTTTCCATACGCTGTAGTTTGCAGACCCCGGTCTAAGCCACTAGGCTCTCCTGCCCTCAGCCTACCTCATATGTGGTTTCCTCGTGAGGCCCGTGGATATTTTGGGACAAACCCTGTGAGAGTGCATCTGGATAGGGCACAGGACTCTGAAATATAATTGTGAGGAAAGACCCAACAAAGATGACTCCTCTAGTCATTCGTCAAAGAATTCTGCCTGACACCAGTCTACAACTTGAAAGTATCTCTGTCTTCCTTTCAGTCCCCTCACTTGCTCTCTTCTATTAAAATAAGCACTGACTCAGGTCAGTCCAAAACCAGGGAAGGTTCTGGTTAGGACAGGGATGTCTCTTCACACACAACATGGTTTTCTGCAAACATGAGCCCACTGTGTCTTTCTTACCTGCAGGGTTTGGCTGAAGCGCTTTAACGGCGTGGCCTTCACAGGAGGGATGAGGTTTGCTAGGGATGTGACTCTGGAAAGGGGTTTGACTCGTTTATTACTAGGCTCCTGTAGGGTTAAAAAGAAAGGAAAGGAAAATGTCAAGGTCAATTAGGAAGACAACGTAACTCCACCCTACAGTCACGTCCCACTCCACGAACTGCTGGCTGCACACCGATCTGTGGAATGTAAACAGTGCCCTGTCTCACTCCAGCTCTGCCGAGGTGACCTGGCTTAGGCGTCAGGAAGGAGAAATGGCAGGGAGGTGTAAGCAGAAGCAGCCTCTGAGCAGACAGCAAGTGGGCAAGGATATCTCCTTTCCCTTCACCCTAAATCTATCTGCCAGCATTTAAATCAGAGGCTTCTATTTAGTGGAAGCATTCTCTCCAACCCCAACCCTCCTGTAGAGAAAAGCTGCCTCAGATTTCCCATCCAATGACCTTGTCAGGAGGTTGTCTTTTGATGCTTCTGGTTCATCTTTTTAAAAACATTTTGCCCACTTTGCCTGAAGCCATGCTCCAAATTTCTAATAAGCAATGGCTTTTCTAAAGCACAAAGAATCTTTCTTTTTTTAGTTCGCTAAATTAGAAAAATATTTTTAAAGAAGTTCTTCTGTTACTAGACTCTTAAGAAAGTATCTTTGTACCTACAGTATATTTGAAATGCACATATTAATACTTCCAAATAACAACCAGATATCAGAAGAAAATGTACAGAGAGAAAACCCTACCACTGGCATCGTTTTTATACTATACATAGCCGCAAGTTTTAAAAATCACCTCCACATAAAACATTTGCAAATCTGCAAAAGTTACCCCAAACCAAGCTGATGGCCGAGGGGAGCCTACCCATACCCATGACTCTGCAGAGGAGAATTACATAAATAAAAACGACAGGCTGTGGAAAAGCAAGGGATGACAGACAAAACATTTTACAAAGACAAAGAGAACAGTTACCCTTGTCTTCCTAAGCTCCATCTGACCTGCGGTAGATGCTGGACAGCACATGAAGACACAAAATTTTGATGGAAAAAGCCAAACTTGCCAATGGCTGTGGCGAAGCTCAATCATTTCCACAGGGAGCCTCAAGATGCTCATCTTTCCTTTTCAGCCATTGCTTTCAAAGTTTTGAGGGTTAAGCCAGAGCTTCAGATTCCCCAGAATATCCCTGCAGCATGTTTTGAACATAGTAGGTGCTTAGAAAAATCTTGCCTGAATTTGGAGTTGTGCCGAGAAATTCTCATGTCATTTCATGCCCTTGCTAGCCTCCGAAATCAGAAGCCTTCTTTGAAACAGACCCAACCTCTCTGGCATTCAAGTAGAATAATTAAAAGACATTCTAAAAAGCACAAAATAACTCCACAACATGGTCAGAAGTGACTTCATGATTTCTCGAAGCGGTCAACTACTTTTCCAAGACGGAGAATGAATCCAGGCTGCCGGGTACCTCTCCAGCCTCTTGGCATGCTGAGCTGAACAGACAGCAGGAAACTCTCTGAACACTGGGAAGGCTTAGTTCCAAAATGCAAAGGATGAATCTCTCAACATGAGAGACATCGCATTACAATTATTTAAATGCTAAAGAGAAAGATCCAATAGCCCTTCTGCTTCCAGGTGACAGTGCCCTTCAAGGATGCTCCCAGTCCAGCGCCTTGCTAAGTATCTATGCCCAGAGGAGGATTTTTCAAATGTTTTTACGTCAGAGCTGCACCACCGGCAGGCATATTGAATAAACACACACACAAACACACACAGCCTCTTGAGCATCCCCTGAATTTCTCTAAATGGCTCCTGCTTTGGTTGGAAATGCCAGAGTTCTGATATACCACCTTTTGTGGCACAATCTGCACTGCAGCAAGCAGGAAGATGTGGGATTTTCTGAAGGAGAAGGACTTGGTCTCAGATAATCCCGCACACTTCTGAGAGCCTGTGGACTCCTAGGTCTCTGCTCTATTAATAGCTAAAGCTGCTAGGTCACAGATTCTGTATCAAACTGGGGAGGTTGAAGGGCAAACGTCAATTGGGTTCTCTTGCTTTTAAAAGGGGCAGGGAGCCTGGCACGCTTGGCAGGGTGAGGAAAGATTCGGCTCTGTTCCATTTGCTGTGTCATCTTTTCTAAGGTTCTGCTGACTTTGCTGCCCATTTTACATGACCCAGTCAGATGGGTGTTTTTCTGCACAGCTACAACCTATGTGCACACGGCAAATGTCAGCCCCTCTGCAGGCTGCATGCAGTGCTGCCACATGAGATTGTAATTAAAACTCCTTTCCTAAGGCTTTGCCCATTTGGAAGTAAACACTGGGCTGCTCTCTGGCAACTGGACATTCCCAAGTAATGATCAATCAAAACAGAAACCACTGCTGCATGATTTAGTGCTTGATCCAGCAAAACAGGCAGGTGCAATTTCAAAACCAGAACATTTACAGGTTATTGGATCTACGGAGGAGGCTTTATGCCTGACCCACATGAGTGAAGTATGAATTACGGGGTTCTCCTTGAGGGCTTCAGTGAGAACAGGAGATTTAAAAAATTCTTGGCCTGATTTGATTTTTCTTTTCCATTTACTCAGTATGTCTCCAGCTACATTCTACTGCTGTCTAAAAAGAGCCCTCAGGGAAAATGTTTCCAGATTCTAGTTAAACAGTTCTACTGAGAACTAGCAAATGCAATACCGGAGATGCTTTCAGGCTTTACATAGAGATGACAGAACACAACCTGCAGAGGCTTCCTAGTGCAACAACTCAGCTGTCAGACCAAGCTGGGCAGGGTCACGGCTAAACCCAGGAACAAGGTGTCCTGTTTCAAGTGCTGACACCGCTCCACCATGCAATTTTAAGACAGGGCTGGGGGGTATCTCACTAAAGAGGTTAAAAAAAGAAAAAAGAAAAAAGCATCGAGTGTTCTGTGTGGGCAGTATTTTCTGAATAAGTCTTGCTGTATCTTTTCCAGGCCTTATAGCTTTTCTGTTTTTCTTGTCTTATCATACTGGCTAGGACTACCTGTATCTTGTGATTACAAGCTGAGAATAATGGGTACCCTAGTCTAATTTTAAATTCTAAAGTGATTATTATGAAGGTGTCATCACTGAGTATTGTATTTGCTGAGAGCATGGAAGAGACACCCTTTATCAAGTAGAGAAAGTTCCCTTCTATGCTAAGTTTACTATGAATTTTTATCATGAATGAGTATTGATTTTTATCAAATATTTTCTCTTCATCTTTTCTGGGAACAAGGAAGGGGGAAAAAGAGGGAAGGAAAAATAAGAAGGAAAAGGTGGGAAGAAGGGAAGGAGAGGATGAAGAAAGGCATGGAGGTCATATTTTTTCATCAAAGAATTGATTCAGCAACTTTAAGTATCTCTCGTGCTTGATTTATAAATAAAGGGGAATAAAGCACTCCATGCAATTTTATTTTTAATGTGAGATTTAATTAAATAGATTTTATATTCCTTCCCTAGGGAATACAGTTTTTAACCTCTCCTCTTTCTTCCCCACCAAGAGATAAAAACCCCAAGTACATTATATGCAATGTAAGAAAATGCCTATCATATCAGTATGATCTGGCACAATTTTTTATTCCTTAAAAAAAAAAAGCTCTAACAGACATAGCATACAGGAAACCCTCACTCATTCTCTCTGCACTTCATTTTTGCAGCCAGAGTGGTATTAGGGAGCAGTAGGAGGGTCTTCAACATCACTTCTGTAGCTGCCCTGAGACTCTGCCTTTACTGAGCCACAAACACGGCCCAGGAGGGACCAGAAATGCAGCCATTAGTGCAGGACTGACTGCTCTACTGCAGGGCAGTACTGATCTTGGATGCTCTATACCTGGCGAGGAGCAAGGGAAAGGTGAGAATCAACTGTGCCAGCAGATGTCTTTGCCCATGAGTTGACGGAGTCATAAAAAATCTTTCAAATGTTTAGGAACACCAGGAAACCTCATGCAGGGCTCCACCTGTGTTACAGGAGGTGTGCTGGAAACTGTACACCCAGGGGTCATGAGTCATCCACCCAGTAACCCTCTAAGAGGCTTTCATCATCCTCATGTTAAACAGGAAGTTATGCTCTCAGAGTGATGGAGAAGCTCTAGCATTATTGAATAATAATAATGAGTTCATATTCATTGCAGGGGCTTTTCTCTACGCTTTACAGAACTTAATAATATATTCCTCCTAACATCCCAGCAAGGTAGCCACTATTGTGATCCTTGTTTTAAAGACAGGGAAAGCTAAGAAAGGTGGCCAGGATTTAAACCTAGGCAGGCTGGCTCCAGAGCCCATGCCCTACTCCAAGGCTTGGCAGACTTCTTCTGTAAGGGGCCATATGGCTAAATATTTTAGGCTTTGAGGGCTATCCAGCCTCTGTCACGACTACTAATCTCTGCCATCGCTATAAACAGTTATATAAATAAATGAATGTGGCTATGTTCCATTAAACCTTCATTTATAGACACTAACATTTGAATTTCATGTAATTTTCACATGTCACAAAACATTATTCTTCTTTTGCTTTTTTCAACTATTAAAAAACAGAAACCATTCTTAAGGGCTTGAGGGCTGTTTTTTTTTTCTTCCTATTCCTCAGACAAAGGAACATGAGTTTTGTTGGAGACTCTCCAATTTTCAATCAAGTATTCTGCTCAGTAGAGGACACTGTAGGAGATTCTGGAAAACTATTTCCCAAAACACTGTTTTCTGACAGCACCTTTACTATACTAGGCAACATTCAAACTGTTTAGACCCAAAGTTCTACCTCCCAGTACTACTGAGTCAAAAACAAGGGGCAGAAATCTGATTTCAAGATGAGGGGGGGGCAACACTATTTCATGCCACTAAATAGCTGGAGGGCAGTCAGAAGTGGGCTGTACTTGGCACAGGGGCCATAGTTGGCTGACCACTGCTCTGTACTACTGCTGGCCATGGGGTCATAGGGGTCACGTTCTAGGTCAGAGGTCTTCAGCCTCAGCTTTCTACTGTGACATACTCAAAGATGACACTCCAGGGATGGCAGCCTCCCACAGGAGCGCTCAGTCTTCAGATGGCACAGGGTCAATGTGCATCTACTCCCTACAGCTGGCCTTCCCCTGGTGAGCAGGGGATGCATCTGACTTACCTTGTAAGTGAGCGAACCCTATCCTACTGAATTTTATTCTCTTAATTTTCCAAACAAATCATCCTGAACATAACACAAACTTTCTCTGATCATCAATATATATGAATAAAGGACATAAAAATATGATGCTTGGGATCTGCTTCAAGGTCACATGGGACTGGGGAAAGGGGATATACAGGAAACAGCACTGACCACAGGTTGGCAACTGTCATACTAGGGGTCATGCACAGGGGACACAACATACAGTCCTGTCTATGGTACATGGTCAAAATACTCCATGATAAGAAGACATTTAAATGAACAGAAAACAGTTTCATGAACTGGAGCAGACAGGGGTCATCTGAGATCTTCACTTCAGTTGTTAGTGAGGGCCTAGTAAGTAAGGATACTGAAGAGGCAGAGGTCATCTAGAATCGAAGGTAATTAGTAGAAACCTGGTTTTAAAAAAAACAAAAAACAAAAAACAAAAAACCACTACTAAATTTCAGTAATTCCCAACTGATATAGGCCAGAATAGGGAAATAGGATTCACGAGAGCTACCTGAAAGCATTTAAACTTAAAAGACCGGACACCCCATGGAGAGCTGCCAACCTGGCTGTCAGATTCCCCAAAGATGGTTTTATTCTACTGACCAGTTTTTCATTTGCTCTCATTAAGAAGCCCATCAACTGGCTCCTGATCACTGAACTCCACAACATAAAACAATCTGATGTAGTTCAACCCTGATTTATCCTAGAAACACAAAGAAAAAATGGGGACCATTCAACATCAGACTGCCCATGGAGAGGAGATTTCTGTTCTATTCCTTTTATTTATTTATTACTTATTGTTTTAGTGAAGGTACTGGGGATTGAACCCAGGAACTCATGCACGCTAAGCATACACTCTACCACTGAGCTGTTACCCTCCCCCTGCCATTCTATTCCTTTTAATTTGTGAGTGTGCTTTGCATACCCCAGGACTGTCTCCCAAATCCACCCTTTTCTCTCCATTCCTACAATAACACCATCCTTTATAAAGAAGGCTAGGACCTCCCCTCCTTGGCAGATCTTCACTCTGGCTCACTACAGTTGTCACGACTTTACCACCCACTTCCTTAGGGCCAAAGGGTGGTTCACACGGTTTTACAGTTTATGCCCAAGAGTCTCACCCTTCAAAACTCCAAGGTCACCACAAATATTCTTGTGTTCTCACTTCCTTCGACACCTCCTGTTGCTAAGGCCTTCCCACCCTTTCAGGGTCTCTCACTGACTCACTGGCCAATTCTTTCACTCTTCTCATTACCTCCTGTCATAGGTGGCACTCTTTCCTTTGGGGAGGGAGGACCTGACAGCTTACTTTGTATCTTGCTCCTCAAAGA